TCTCACTTTCTTTTTTTTTCTTTTTCATTCTCTCTCTCTTTCTTTCTTTCTCTCGCTCTCTCTCTCTCTCTCTAGACAGATAGATAAACAGACAAACAGACAGACAGATTCACAGACATATGGGTGGATAGAAAGACAGAGCTAGATACACAGATAAATAGATAGACAGAGTTAGAGAGATAGATAGACAGCAAAGAGACAGATGGACGCACAGACAGACAGACGATAGACAAATATTCATACATACATACAGACAACCAAATAGATAGACAGGCATACATACAAACTGACACAAATACAAACAGAAAGATAAATAGATAGACAGAGAGAAACAGAGACAGACAGAAATACAACCAGAAAGATAGATAGATAGACAGAGAGAAACAGAGACAGACAGAAATACAACCAGAAAGATAGATAGATAGACAGAGAGAAACAGAGACAGACAGAAATACAACCAGAAAGATAGACAGACAGAGAGAGAAACAGAGACAGAGTAAACATTCATACAATGGCTTCCAAGAACCCGTTTAGTTTGAACATTTTCCATGGCTATTTGCGGGGGGGAAAAAAGTTCCAGAAGAAAAGTTCTGACGTCTCTGAGAAGCATTGTAAAGAGGGATTCGAAAACAATTTGATTTTACGGAATATCAAAGGAGACAAAGTGGCGGGGAATCGCTTATGTTGCAGCTCTCAAGATCTTGGCTCGCAATCTGACGGTCTCTCTCTCGTTCTCTTTCTCTGACTTTCGTTCTCTTTCTCTCTTTCTTCGTTCTTGAGTTCGTTTTCGTGTTCTTGTTTTTTTTTGGTCTCTTTCTCTGTCTCGTTGATTTTTTCACTTTCTTTGTCTGCTTTTCGTTCTCTTCTCTCTCTCGTTTTCTTTCTCTCTCTGTCTCGTTCTCTTTCTCTTCCTCGTTCTTTTTCTTACCTTCTTTCTCTCAATCTTTCCCTCTTTCTTACTTTCTCTCTCTCTCTCTCTCTCTCTCTCTCTCTCTCTCTCTCTCTCTCTCTCTCTTCTCTCTCTTCTCTCTCTCTCTCTCTCTCTCTCTCTCTCTCATATCCTTATTTTTATTTACTACATTCATCATTAATAATATTCATAGATAAAAAAAAAAAACACAAATCCTCTCGATATACTGCATGCCTTGATGTGACCAAAAAAAAAAAAAAAAAAAAAAAAAAAAAAAAAAAAAAAAAAAAAAAAAAAAAAACGGTAAAAATATTTAAAAAATGACCATATTAAAAAAAGGTAAACAATATTAAAAAGATAAACAATATTAAAAAAAAGATAAAGAATATTAAAAAAGATAAAGAATATTAAAAAAGATAAATAATATTAAAAAGAATGAATAATATTAAAAAAGATAAGCAATATTAAAAAAGATAAACAATATTAAAAAAGATAAATAAAATGCAAAAAGATCATATAAAAAGATCAACAAGATTTAAAAAAGACATCAACAATAAAAAAAATCCAAAAAGATCAGCAATATCCTAAATGATTAACAGTACTAAAAAATACAACAATATTTTTCTAGTTTGATAAGGTATGATTTGCTAGAAGTTAAGGAGTCCAAACTTTTTTTTTCTTTCTTTTTTTAAGACCATTACTAGGTGACGATAGATGGAATGAAATCTTATATGAAACAAGACTATTTCTCATAAGTTGCCATATCTATCTATCTATCTATCACTTTATCTATCTATCTACCTGCCTATCTGTCTATTTATCTGTTCAACTATTTATCTATCTATTTATCAATTTATCTACTTAGGTCTGTCTGTATCTATCTATCTATTTATCCATTTAGGTCTGTCTGCACCTATCTAATCTAATCTTTCTATCTAATCGAACAGTATCCGAATCTAAAAATCACCCGTTAAGATAAAAAATAAGATAAGATAAAAAAAAATCCAAATATACTTTTACCAAGATATGAAAAAAAATACAAAATTACTTTTATGAATTACCTCTTAAAAATGAAGGTTTCCGAGTGGACTTCAGTGGAAATTAAGGTTCGAGGGGGAAAAAATTAACCTCTTTTGGAGACACTTGAATCAATAAGACCCGATGAAGATGAAGATTGTGATTAATATCAAGTTCAAAGATCGAGAGAGAGAGAATTAAGTTCCCATTAAGTGGGAGTTATCGCAGTGTGACGGTCTCTTTCTCTGATTTTCGTTCTCTCTCTCTCTTTATTCGTTCTCTTTCTCTCTTTATTCGTTCCCTTTTTTTCTTTCTTTCAATTTCTTCATTTTTTCTTTCTATTTCTTGTATTTATTTATTTACTTATTTTTCTATCTAAGCCGTATAAGCACTACCACTTTTTTTCGTTTATTTCTTTCTCTCTCTCTCTCTCTCAGCCGTATAAGTACTACCACTTGGACACTTACCCACGTCGTTCAGAGCCTCAGGGAGCACCACTTTGAAGTCGAGGTCGGCCAAGTGGAGTTGCTGGGACTGGTGGGTGTGGTTGTCGTGGGAGACGAGGAACGCGATCTGTAGGGGTGGAGGGGGGGGGGGTGGGTGATAGAAAAAAAAAAAAAAAAAAAAAAAAAAACTTAGACATATACAAACACATATACATATGCATATACATGTGTGTGTGAATGTGTGTGTGTGTGCGTGTGCGTGTGTGTGTGGTGTGTGTGTGTGAGTGCGTGGTGTGTGGTGTGTGTGTGTGTGTGTTGTGTGTGTGTGTGTGTGTGTGTGTTGTGTGTGTGTGTGTGGTGTGTGTGTGTGTGTGTGTGTGTGTGTGAGTGTGTGTGAGTGTGTGTGTGTGTGTGTGTGAGTGTGTGTGTGAGTGTGTGTGTGAGTGTGTGTGTGAGTGTGTGGTGTGAGTGTGTGTGTGTGAGTGTGTGTGTGTTTGTGTGTGTGTGTGTGTGAGTGCACAGTAAGTGAGTGAGTGTGTGTGTGTGTGTGTGTGTGTGTGTGTGTGTGTGTGTGTGTGTGTGTGTGTGTGTGTGTGTGTGTGTGTGTGTGTGTGTGTGTGTGTGTGTGTGTGTGTGTGTGTGTGTGTGTGTGTGTGTGTGTGTGTGTGTGTGTGTGTGTGTGTGTGTGCAGTGTGTGTGTGTGTGTGTGTGTGTGCGAGTGAGTGAGTGAGTGAGTGGTGAGTGAGTGAGTGAGTGAGTGAGTGAGTGAGTGAGTGAGTGAGTGAGTGAGTGAGTGAGTGAGTGAGTGAGTGAGTGAGTGAGTGAGTGAGTGAGTAGTCACATACAGATAAAAATACATAAACATATTTCACACCCATATATCTTATGCTTTGCTGATTCTGTAAGCTTGTATCTTAATGAATCCTTTGTAATTAACAACTGCCTTTCCTTTTATCTTAATTATCATTCTCTCACATAAAAGAGAGTTTTAAACGAAGGTTATTTCCTGTTTTCATTTTTCTTTTAATTTAGTTTTTTTTGCTTATTCTTTGTCTGGTTTTTGCTTCGGTTGGTTTCTCATTAACGTTTTTTTTTTATTTTTATTGTTTTCTCTTTCTTTTACTCTTTCTCTTTTCGTTTTCTTTCTACTCTCTCTTATTCTGTCTCTCTGTCTACCTGTCTCTCTCTCTCTACCTGTCTCTCTCTCTCTATCTATCTTTCTCTTTCGCTCTCTTCCCCCCCTCTCTCTATCAGTTTCTCTCGCTCTCTCTTTCTTTCTCTATTTATCTCTTTTCTATCTATATCTTTATCTATCCTTTTCTCTATCTGTTTCTTTGTCTATCTATCCCATTGTTTGACCCTTTGTCTGCCAATCTCTTTGTCTATTTATCTATCTCATTCGCTTTCTCTCTCTCTTTTTTATTTTTTCTCTTTATCTCATTCTCTCTCAATCTCTATTCAAAGTCCTCTCTTCCACCCCTCTCTCTCTCCTTCTTCCTTTTCCCTTCTTCTAAAAATGGATTTGATAGAACACAAAATTATAGAAATACATAGAGAGAACATAAAATACCTATCTTGTTCTTCGATATCAGAAAAATAAAATAAACATACTGGTAACAAGAAAATAACACATACACTGCATAATTTGTTGGCATTGACAACATGAAAAAACAATGGATAATTTGTTCGCTCTGTCAACATAAAGAAATCATACTGCATAATTTGTTGACTGACATGAAAAGACACTGGATAATTTGTTGGCTCTGTTAACATAAAAAAAATCGTACTGGATAATTTTTTGGCACAGACAACATAGAATAATCTACCCTACCGCATCATCCCGCGGCTTAGTAAGTATGTTTCTCTACAAAACATGACCCTTACGTCCAGATGGATATGGGACCAACTTTTTAAAACATTGAATAAACATACACTGGCTACTTCACTGACAAAGACAATATAGAATATACATACACTTGATACTTTGTTGGCACAGACAATATAAAGTAGACATACACTTGATACTATTGGCACAATCAATATAAAAAAAACATATATAGGATATTTAATTGGCAGAGGCAACATAAAAAAACATACATAGGATATTTCTCTGGCACTAACAACATAAAACAACATACACCAGTTACATCGTTAGCACTGACAACATGAAAAAGCACACTGAAAACTTTGTAGGAACTGCCATGACAAAACAAAACACAAGATATTTCTTTTGTCCATTTCACGTCCTAGACATGATAACATAACATAAATAACGAATGCTTAATTCCAATTGGCCCTTATGCAACAGAACGGCCAGACAGCAAGCAGCTGGACCTTTCTAAGAATTTCGCTATGTATAGACGACCAGTGCTGTTTAAGATATATGTATATTTATACATACATGCATACACACACTTACACACACACACACACACACAGATGGATACTCACACATAGGGACATACACACACACACACACACACAGAGGGATACTCACACATAGGGACATACACACACACACACACAGATGGATACTCACACATAGGGACATACACACACACACACACACACACAGAGGGATACTCACACATAGGGACACACGCACACACACACATAAATAACAGAAATTCGCTCTTGACGTTTGAAGACAAATATAAACTATAATCATGCAAGGTAGAACACAGTGTCTCGATATACTCAGACTTTGGACAGAAACTCTCTCTTTCTCTCCTACCGTCTCTCTCTCTCTCTCCTTCCGTCTCTCTCTTTCTCTTTCTCTCACTCCCTTCTTCCCTCTCTCTCTCTCTGTCCCTCCCGTCTTCTCTCTCTCTCTCTCTCTCTGTCCCTCCCGTGTTCCCTCTCTCTCTCTCCCTCTCTGCCCCCTCCCCCCCACTCCCTCTCTCTCTGTCCCCTCCCTTTCTTTCCTTCCTCCCCCTTCGCTCTTCCTTTCCCTCCCTTCCTTTTCCCATCTCTCGCTCCCCTCCTCTCTCTCCTCCCTCTCCCTCCCTCCCCTCTCTCTCTTTCTCGCTCTCTCTCTCTCTTTCCCTCTCCTTCATACTCTCTATCTCTCCCTTTCTCTCTTTACCCTTCTCTTCCACCCTCGCTTCCTCTACCATCTCTCCAATAGCCACATTTCATAACTCTTTCAAACGAACATTCTTCCCACGGGCAAACTTAATTAGTGCAGGCAATTTGAACACTTAATATAGCGTTATAATGTATGCTTTCGAAAGCATAGTACACAGAAGTCACTTTAATGCATATGCTGATCCCGTGCCCAGAATATGTTTCGTGTTTTATATGTGCTATTAAAGGATGTATTACATGTTGCAGTCGAGATATGCGGTGAAATAGGTTTATTTTTTTATGTATCTAACTGTTTTTTTCTGTTATTTTACTTTGTCTCTCTCTCTTTATAACTTACTCTTTTTCTCTCTTTCTCCTCCAACCTCTCTCTTTCTCTAACTCAAACTCTCTCTCTGGATTCACTCTCCCTCTCTCATTCACTTTGCCTCTCCCTCCCTCTCTCTCTCTCTCTAGCTCACTATCTTTCTCTTTCTCTTTCTCTCTGTAACTCTCACACACAAAGACGCACGCACCCTACCACACCCACACCACAAACCCACACGCAAACACATCCCGCCCCCCTCCTATCTATAAATAAATAGATAAATAAATAAATTGATACATACATACATACATTCAAACAAACACACACACACACACATATATATATATGAATGTATACACTTACACACCCTCACACATTACCCACCTCCCCCCCCCCCCACACGCCTTCCAAGGAGAGGTTGTAATTCTGGATGCCGTGCAAAGGCCACGTATGTTTGCAGTTCGATGAAGGCTTTAATATGTCAATGCTCTTCGCGGAATTAATTAAGTGTATGGCATCTCGGTGATCTAATTCCCTAACTGTATATTGGAAACTGGGGGTCAAGGTCCGCAGTTGTTATTATTTTTTATTCTTTTTTTTTAACCTTTGTTTTACGTTTTTAAATATCTTTATTTTTTGTTCTGTATTTTAAACGTTTCTGTTGTGTATTTTTTGTTATTCTTTATTTCTTTTTGTATTTTGGTGTTTTTTTTTTTTTTCTGTAAGAAGTTTTATGTAACTCAGAAAGTTGGACTTAAGTAATAACTTAATGTCTATATTCATCTATATTCTTCTTGTTCTTCGACATGTAATAGCAAGGTACGACCACAGTCTAAAAAAGTAGAAAAAAGTAAAAAAAAGTAGAAAAAATTCCATGTCTTTCCAAAAGGATTATATTGCAACCAAGATCGATAATTATCTGTATTTTAGCATGAAATATTTGAATGCCAGATATCATTACCATTATTATTGTTACTATGCCTGTTATCACTGCTATTATCATTATCATTATCATAATCATCACCCTTATCACAATCATCATCATCGTTATTTGATTTTCATATCTTTTTTGATATTACCTTCCTTCACCAGACTACTGATTGTATTAATAGTCCAAGATAATCATACATGTCGAATAAAACAGAACCGTTTCCAAAGCAGCACCAGACTACTGATGTATTAATAGTCAAGAATAATCATACATGTCGAAATACACAGAACCGTTTCAAAAGCACAGACTACTGAGTATTAATAGTCCAAGAATAATCATACTATGTCGAAATACACAACCGTTTCCAAAAGCACCCAGACTACTGATGTATTAATAGTCCAAGAATAATCAAAATACACAGAACCGTTTCCAAAAGCACCGAGATAACCCCTCCTTTGAAACTTAGCCGAATGCCTCTGGTGGTCTCTTTAGGAATTTTCAAGCTCTCTAAACGGTGTGAGAGAGAGAGAGAGAGAGAGAGGAGGAGAGAGGAGAGAGAGACGAGAGAGAGAGAGGAGAGAGAGAGAGAGAGAGAGGAGAGAGAGAGAGAGAGGAGAGAGAGAGAAAGAGAAGAGAGAGAGAGAAGAGAAAGAAAGAGAGAGAGAAGAAACAGAAAGAAAGAAAGAAAGAAAGAAAGAAAAAGAAAGAAGAGAAAAGAAGAAGAGAAGGAAAGAGAAAAGAAAGAAAGAAAAAGAGAAGAAAAAAGAAAGAAGAAGAAAAAAGAAAAAACGCTTCACTCTGAAAC